GTGTGACAGAGTGTTGGACTGGGTGGGCCTTTGGCCTGATCCAACATTGGCTTCTCTTATGTTCTTATGTCTGGGGCAAGTGATGCACTGTAGTCTTGGTGCTTGGGGGGGGGGCAACACTGGGAGGGATTCTAATGTCCTGGCCCCACTGGTGGACCTCCTGATGGCACCTGGTATTTTTGGCCACTGTGTGACAGTGTTGGACTGGATGGGCCTTTGGCCTGATCCAACATTGGCTTCTCTTATGTTCTTATGTCTGGGGCAAGTGATGCTCTGTCTTCTTGGTGCTGGGGGGGGTCAACAGTGGGAGGGCTTCTAATGTCCTGGCCCCACTGGTGGACCTCCTGATGGCACCTGGTATTTTTGGCCACTGTGTGACAGAGTGTTGGACTGGGTGGGCCTTTGGCCTGATCCAACATTAGCGTCTCTTATGTTCTTACGGTGTAAATTTCCATAACACAGTAACACCAACAGCTATATTTTGAGCTCTCTGCCCAATAATCCCCCATACGGAACCAAAGCATCCATTTCCCCAAGGCACTGATAGGCGTAAGAGCTGTGAGGTGCCATGGGCGGGGCGTGGGTGCCACAAAGGCCACCCCCAGCATCAGTTAGTAAACTTCACCCGCTTCAGCTGCTTTGGCCCAAGTGCAACCTAAGAGTTTGTGGACATCTAACACTCAGCAGCCCTACTGAAAGAAGGCGTGATTAAAAAAAGCACCCAGCTTTGCTCAAAGGAAACATTTCCATTTGCAACCAGAGTGTTACGGGAGATCTCTCTCAGCTCAGGGGTCTGATGTGGGGCTTACGCAGAAGGCTGAAAGACAGGGACGGAAGGTATCATCTCCCACAAGTCGCCTCTAAGCCCAGGCAGAAGGGCAGGTAGGAGGAAAGATGTTCAGAACAGGGCCACTCACAGTCTGGACCAAATGCGACCGAGTGGCAGAGACGCGTCTGTTCAGCGGCTTGCCAGAATAGCAGGCTGCTGCAATTCAAGAACTTCTTTCCAGTCCACCTGTGCTAGACCTCAGTTTCCCAGAGGGCCTGTGGCTCAGCTCTACATGCCGACTCCTGCCCGCCACACAGATCGCAGAAGTATCCCACACAAGCAAAAACCAAGGAGAGGAGGGATATAGCAGCTCCCACAGAGATATAAATGCCCAAGGTCTTAAGAGTTAGTCATTTTTATGCCACTCTTATGACTGCGGTGGCTCAAGTGGTTAAGACGCTGAACTGCAGGCTGTAGAAGGTCAGTAGTTCAGCAGTTCAAGACCCGGGTGCCGCATGATGGAGTTGAGCTCCCATCTCTAGTTCCAGCTCCTGCCAACTTAGCAGTTCGAAAGCAAGTAATTGCAAGTAGATAAATAGGTACCGCTTCGGTGGGAAGGGAACAGCGTTCCGTGCACCTTGGTGTTTAGTCATGCCGGCCACGGAAACGTCTTCGGACAGCGCTGGCTCTTCGGATTTGAAACGGAGATGAGCACCGCAACCCTAGAGTCGGATTCGACTGGCTTTCGAGCAAGGGAACCTTTACCTTTACCTATGACTTCACGTTTTCCTTGGAAAGTGCCCTTCAGCGGCTCCTATAGAGAGAAGGCTGATATTTTCCTATGCAGAGAATGCCCGCGCACGTGCCCCTTCCGACTGCGAAGGGTCGGAATAATTTTGCTAGGCAGCATTCTGGCTTCCACGGAGAACCTGAGCCTCCGCGTAAGGGGTCAGGCAGGCACGCCCTTCCCCAGCTGCCTCCCAGTTTCCCAGGCACTGGACGTTGGACGTCCCTGCGAGACAGCCCAGCCACACTTGTTCTGGCAACGCCGGAGGGCTGTGGGAAGCTCATTTGCAAAGAGACAGACTAGTGCAAAACAATACATTTTTATTTTGTTCACAGTTAAACACAAGCAACTGCCTTGACGTATTAGAACATTCTAGTAAGGACAGCAAACACCCTCCTTTTGGTTTGTTTCCCCCCAAAAGTTCTTAGCTTAGATTGTACCATTTCTCTTTGTCCATTTCATATTTATGGCATTTTTTTGTTTAAAACTGTAGATTATCATGCTTACAAAGAGGCGAGGAACAATATCAACCCTTTGATGGAGAGTTTCGAGTTTTAACTAAAAGCAGTCATTCTTTTTAGGAAAAAGACTTCCCATTTCCAGCTTCACCAAAGAGATCCTTTTTCCCCAGCTCCAAAAAGTTACTGTATGCTACATCCATGATTCAAAGAGATTTATTGAGCAACGGCAACAGATTTATTCCTCCATAATTTCTATGGTCCGTACAGAAAATCTGAGATTCTAATAGATTCACCCACCATCAAGGTACTCCCGTCCTTTCTGAGAGAGAAAAAAAGGGCCATCTATATGGATGACCGTGTGCAGGTTAATGAGCTGAAAAAGACAGCCTGTGAGGAATGGCTGAAAAAAAATCATTCCAGTTCCTCTTGCAGAACTGCCCAAGAACTAGTTCTTTGGACCAGAAGGGGGCGAAAAGGAAAGAACGGAAGGAGGCAGGATGCACACAATTTGCACTACGCAACCTAGTCTAAACACTTGGCACGCCGAGGGCGGCAGAGAACGATCACCCATTTGAGACTCCAGGCAGGAAATCACGTTTGAAAGCTCTTCCATGCAAAACTTCCCTGCTATGCTGGCTTTCTGCCTAACAAGGAGGAAGGTGTTTCCCCCTGAATCCAAAATTCAAAACTGTGATCTCTGTCCTCCTGCAGTCTGAAATGGGATGGGTGATTTTCTCCCCTCATTCTGCTGCTTGTGTCAATCCGGCCCCAGAGAGGGCTCTGGGAAGGGAAGGCGTTTGGAAGCCCCCAACTCCTCTATTACAATCTGCCACCATTAAAGTAACACAACCTGTACACGTACAATCCCAGTTCACTCTTTGCAGAAGCTCTTGCGCTTCCTATTCTATAGAGAAATGCAAGCATTTGAACACACCTACCCAAGTCCACCATTTTAAAAACAAAGTTCCAGAAGGGTCCAAAGATTAAAAAATGGGCCACGTTACAGACTATTCAGAAATGTACACAGGACCACCGTCGAGGGGGCAAGGCCAGTGTCTTTGTGCGCAGGACAATTATAGCAGCTTTCTCTTGGATTCAGGGTTGCCGGGAGAGTTGCTTTCGCTGGGAGAGTTCTTGTGGGGGGGGGGGGGGCGGAAATTTCAAGTATTTCAGAGACAGGCTACACTGTGAAGATTAGGAAAGACTCACAGGCCGCTACAAAGTCACAAACTACCAACAGATTCCAACATTTAACACTTTCCACTGGGGTGGGGGGACGGGGACAGGACAGGAGTGGGACTCAGTGAAGACTCATACAAAAAATGAAAGAAAAAAGAATAACCCCTCATTTGGGAGCTGAGGAAAGGCCAGTTCTTGATCCTTCTGGGGGGGGGGGGAGAAACACATACAGCTTTTGCACCCCCCGGAGTAGCTTCGTTCAACTGCATTCTTCCAACAGCTATTCCTTTATGGACAAACACACAAAGTGTCCGACAGGAGACTCTCCAACTCTCTCTCACCCTCCCTTGCTGCAAGGTCACCATTCCTTGGAGACGGAAGGGCAGCCACTAGAGAGGAACACCTCTCGCTCAGAAGCAGAGTGACGGGTTTGCGGCAGAGAGCCGTCCTCTCCGGTCAGACACACACACACACCACGTGAAAGTTCCCCAGGCGTCTCCACCTTAGCTGTGACCCCAGCTTTCTTAAAAACTCTCAGGGAGTTCTGATGGCTTGCCATCTTTTCAGAGATCTCTACGTGTGCGCCAGTTACCGAATCCTCCCACTCCGGGGTGGGTGGGGGGATGACGACACACGTCTGCTTTCCTTTCGCCATTCGCACAAAAATGAGGTCAGCTCAGTACCAGCTTATCAAGCAAATAAGAAGACGGGGGAGGGGAGGAAGGGAGATATAGTGTTACGGTGAGACCACAAATCCAACCTGGGGTCTCTGCACGAGAAGTTCCAGTTTCTCAAAGGAGGTGGCTGCGGAAGCCTTTGTTCGTTACACAGAAATGTTTAAGGACAACATAGATTAAGGGGGGGGGGGAGAAGAATGTGGTATTAAATGCTGATGGGCACCCTTTACAACATTTCATTGCTAGAGCAGAGCCCAGCCACTGGGGGAGGGGCAGGAAGTGTCATATGAAGGTTGTCAACATTAGGATTTCTTCCTTTCTAGGAGGAGATTAGCCCTGGCCACCAATACGGGGAAGCACTTTCACCTGCTCTGCATTGGGCCGGATCTGTGCATCGTTCCTCGGCTAAGCCCCCAACTGCATTTCTCAGCCTCGTACTCAACACGAGTTCCCTGGATGTGGCCAGTTCAAAGAAAAGGGGGGAGGAAAGAGACTAGAACAAAGGCCGAGATATTCCTGTCAACATTAATATGTTCTGGAGGAGGGCTGGCGAGTGTATATTGGGGGGGGCGGGACGTTGGGAGGACCAGACTGAGCTCAGACACTTCCAGACCTGAAATCCAGTTCACATTCATTCAGCCAAGTCCACGAACGCAGGTCCAGTTTCTGCGGCACGAGCCAGCGGCTCTAGACCAACGAGATATGAAAGCTTTTAGTTAAAAAGGTGCGTTCACGCCTCCCTGTTCTATGCCAAGAATATGAAAATTAACACTGATTCCGGACTCTCTTTCCTTTCTAGCTGTGGCCAAGATGGGATTCATTGTAGTCCATTATATGAAGCTGTCCAACACTGCTCTCCTGGTTCCGGGGGGAGGGACCGGGGTCCTCTGGGCTGGGAGGGGCCCTGGCCTCCATGCTGGGGTCTTTACACAGCTCAGTCTTTAAAGTGTCACAAAGGCTATTGATGGTCACGCCGTCCTCGTCGCACTGGCTCTCGCTCTTGTTGCGGAACAGCTCCCGCACCTTCATCCCGAGGAAACTCTCCGAGCTCGGGAGGGAGCCCACCATCAGGGGGCCGCCTCCCGGGGAGGAAGAGTCCAGCAGCACAGATGCCTCCCAGCGGCTCAGCTGCCCGGCTCTCTGGTTCGGGGGCTTTTCGGGGGTGGAGACCTCGCTGCTGCCCTTGCTGCTGCTGCTGCTACTCCCCCGAGTGCTGGAAGGTTTGGTCTCGCCATTCCTGC